TATATATATATATTTTTTTTTAAGTGTGTAGATTAGAGAAGCAATTAACCAGGTAAACTGTGAGAAGAGGCCAAGAATCAGGAAGACTGAGACTTTTTCGTAAGACTCATTCTCAAGGCGTGAGTGAATAGGAGCCAGCCACGTGGCAGGGAGACAAGCCAGAATGTCCAAAACCCTGAGCACAGTGGGCAGGGACACGCCTAAGGCTCAGGTGCGGGGGCTGCAGGGGGGAAAGAAGGTAAAGGAATGAACCTCTCAGGCCCCGCTGAGCCGAGGCGCTAGCCAGCATTCCTAAAGGCTCCTGAGAGTCCCTGAGCGGTTCCACACACGGAGGAACGAGGAAAAGGTCACGTTGGCTCCAGGTTAGAGAAGGCAACACAGAAGGAATTGGGGCTGATCCAGCCAGCAAGCATGTGACAGTGGAAATGCGGCCCAGTGGGGCAGCAGCAAAGAATCCTGAGGTGGTGAAGGGAGCGCATGCAGGGAGGGATTCGGAGGAGTGTGAACGTCTGTAGAAAGCTCAGTGGCAATGGCCAGGAGATGGCCTTCTTTCAAGAGGGCTGTCAGCTTCAGATGGAGGCTTGGGAGTGGTCAGCCCAGAGGTTGGGGTGAAAGCTGCTCGAGGGCACAAAGCTCATGTCCTGGCCCTGGTGGCAGGTTCCCACCTCACAGAGGACATCTCTGCAGAGCAGAGTCAGAGTTCAGAGATAGCGGGGGAAACATCAGAGCTGTGGGTCCCATGCCCTGAGTTACTCAGGAGCCACTCATCCAGTATTTAAAGTTGATTGATTTCTTGCAATAGCTAGTTAAGGTTTTATCTATATACTAGAAGCCCAGTGCACAAATTCATGCACAGGTGAGGTCTGGCCTGCTCACCCCAATGGGGGCCCATTGGGCCGGGCCAGTGGGGGGTGCGGGCCACAGCCAGTTGGCTGGCTGGCCCTGCTCCCGATCAGGGTGTTGGGGCCCAATCAGGGCCCAAATCAGGCTGGTTGGCTGCCACAGTGCACATAATAGCCACTGGTTGTTCTGGTCATTCTGCCATTCTGGTTGCTGGGCTTTTATATATCTACTAGAGGCCCGGTGCACAAAAATTTGTGCACTTGGGGAGGGGGGTTTCCTCAGCCCGGCCTGTGCCCTTTCGCAGTCTGGGACCCTTCGGGGGATGACCACCTGCTGGCTTAGGCCTGCTCCCTGGGGGATTGGGCCTAA